GTGTAACACTTTGAGTAGCTCTTATAAGCTCTGAACACACAAATGTGTTTATTTTTATTTTTGAATTTTTAAAACTAAGCCAGTAATTAGAGGTGATATATCAAGGTCCTGCCTAAATTAAAAATTTTGGTAGTATTCCAAATGAGAAGTTAGCAATTCCAAAAGCATATATTTGACCTTGTTTTATAAGTATGCTTGATATCAAAATAAGCATTGAGCTCCTAAAATCCTAAATAATCTGAAATGAAGATTAATTGCTTAACTAGAAGAAGAATCAATGTCAAATCCGTATTACACTAAATTAAGAATAACAGTTCAAAGTAAACTTAAATTTAGGAAGGTGAAACAGTATCTCTTTATGACTCTGGCCTTTCAAAAAGATATTGGGAGTAGGGAGAAAGGAAAATCTTGCTTGCTCTGCTGGTGGAATACCTAGAATCTAGTCTGGATTCTTACAGTTAGGTAGGTGGCTCTGGAGAAAGGACTCAAGCCATCACAAACCTGTTTTCTTTTTTTTTGGAGTTTGAGTCTCACTATGTCACCCAGGTTGAAGTGCAGACATGCTCAGGGTCACCGCCTCGCTCAGGGTCACCACCTCAGTCTTCCAAGTAGTTGGAACTACAGGCACACACCACCACGCCCAGCTAATTTTTTGATTTATTGTAGAGATGAGCTCTTGCCAAGTTACCCGGGCTGGTCTCGAACCTGTGGGCTCAAGCAATTCTCTAACCTTGGTCTCCCAAAGTGCTGGGATTATAGGCATGAGCCACTACGCTCCGCCAAAGGTGTTTTCTTAAGAACAAAATTATGATATTAATCCCAGTCTATCTCCTAGGTTTATGGTAAGGATTTAACGAGATCATGGAAATAAAGTACTTCAGAAATTGTAACAGTCCATGGAAATGCCAGACATTATTATTTTTAGATCAATCCTCATTAGTAAACTAGGTTTATGTTTTGAAAGATCAATACTATGTCATTTGTTTAGAACATGGATGATGTGGTTGTGTGGAGGAAACGCTAGAAATGGTGATCAGACTGCATAAGTCCATTTAATTCGTAATATGCCCACAGTACAGAATTAATAGTGTGATTATAAGCTACCCACTTGTCAGGTTCATGGTGGCAGCCAGGGGCAGAAGCAAAGGTGGAACAGGGAGTGAGAGAAATAGACAAAAATACTCTTGGGTACCAGAACCCCTAACTCTCTTTAACTCAGTTTCTTTCTAGGTTCCTTGTTCTACAGGTATTCTGAGGAGAGTGGCAAAGGGTAAATGTCCCCACACCACCCTCTGCTCAGTGAAAACTGAACTAACCGAGACGCTTGCAAGAGCCATTGGTATATTAAACTCATTTGCAACCACCGACGTGAATTTACGTCATTCCAAACTCTGTTCCTGGTTGCCACTGATGTGAATTTATCTCAGTGTGGAAGACTGTCTTTTTGGGTTTACAATCTGAATAAAAATACAAAGTACGGAATCCTATTCAGAGTGGTGTCTGAGGCAAATACCGGCTATGCCTGCAACTTTGAGCTGTATTGTGACAAAAATGATAATTTAGAAAAGAACATTTCACTTGTGCTTCATGACAGAAGTTTATGGCAACCAGTTTCAGATTTTTAAAAAATTTTCACCTGCTCTCAGTATTAGAAAAGTGAAAAATGTGCCAGTCTCGAATGTGTTAAGGATTCTGAGAAAGTTTTATTAGCATACATCTAGAAAAAAAAAGTATGCTATATTTGGGGAAAGAAAATCAAATTAGTGGGTTAGCAGATTCACTTGTAAGTGGATGAAAAGATTAAAACCGAAAAATTAATCCATTTTTAACCCTTTTGCTTCTCAGAGTGTACTATGAATAGCTAAACCACAAACAGTGATATTCACATGTTAAGGTGGACTTTATCTTCATCATGAAAAGTCATACACAGAAAGAGATATCTTTTCTGAGGCAGCTGAACACATTTTGTTTGCTTCCTTTAATTCAGTTTGTAGGCCTGCTAAGCTGTCACACATAAAACTCTGTAGATAAAAAATTTATTTAATCAATAATTTTCTTTTTCTAGTAGAAACACAGCAAATCCATTTTCATATGCACCTCTCACAAGTGAATTCTGAATAATTGCCACTGATTATAAATTGTGTTTTAGTATTGGTCATAGAATAAATTCTAATTTTCCTTGATAAACTGTAAAAGAAAAAAATAGTACAAGCCTGCTACCTCATTAATGATTATAAAAGTTCGCAAAAGGAAACAAACAGCTAGGCATGGTGGCTCATGTCTAGCACTTTGGGAGGCTGCTTGGACTCAGAAGCTCGAGACCAGCCTAGGGAACATTTTTGGTCTCTATAAAAATCAAACATTAACTGGACATGGTGAAACAGTAGTTCCATCTACTCTGGAGGCTGAGGTGGAAGGACTGTCTGAGCCCAGAAGGTTGAGATTGCGATGAGCCATGATCCTGTGCCCACCTGGGTGACAGAGCAAGACCCTGACTCAAAAAACAAAATGAAACAAAAACCAAGCAAACAAACCTACTGCTTATGATAACTGTCTTCTACTTTAAAAACCTTTGCTTTAATAGTTTTGCTTTATCGATGGGATTTCTTTAGCCAGCCTTAGAACATTAGCTTTTTAAAGTTAAGGTCTCCTATGTCTGTTCTGAAGGCACTTTTTTACGTCTTTATTTGTTAATGGTTATTATCTCCTGAGAGCTTCTGATCCTCTCCTTGCATGTTTCCTTTCTCAAGAAACTCATTCACTCACAGTTTAAATTATGGTTCTAAATTTTTACTATTGAAAAAAACTTAGGGTTATTGAAAAAAACCCAGATTACATAATAGCTATACATTTGGTTTTGGAATGTTCTGTGGTAGTTTCACTGGGATAAGAGTATGACTGTTAGTTGGACAATCGCTTCTAATAAAAAATAAAACAGCAATATAAAGACTTGACTGGAAACTCTGGGTAGATGCCCAGTTTACCCATCACGCCATCCTATATACTTTATGCTATCATGTATTCCATTCTGCAAAGAATTTATCTCTCATACTGTAATTAATATCAGTATGGCTAGAAACATGGTACTTGCCACTGGAATGTGAGATATATAAAATGAAAGCACCCAAAACAGGATTAGAAATGGCAGAAAACATATGCCTTAATTAAATCTTTCAAGGGCATGCCACATAAAATTGCTCAACTCATTCTCTGAAAGATATTTCTTTAAAATATAAATCCAAGTTTTTATTATCATTATTTTCCTTAGTTATCCCTATAACCTCTTGCCTCTAGCATTACTCCTCTTTAGCAAATTCTACTTATTTTTCTTGTACCCTGTCTTTCTACTGAAGTCAAATATTTGCTGGTGTTTCCTTGTGTATAAATTGCTATCTCCTGTCTGTGTTCATAGATGTATCACTTTCCCTTCTTTTTGTTTCCATTTGCCAATGTGATTGTTTCCCTCCTGAAGTCTTCATGATAGCTGTCTGACTAATTTAAGTTCATTTTAATCACAACAGTTCTTTGAATCTTGCATTATACTGTTTGTATCAATCTTATTGCCATACTAACTTGTTATAGTTTCTGAAACTCTCCTGTTAAGTTTGAACTTTAGCTCAAAACATATTAAAAACATTTAGGGATAGAAATGATTTATTTCCTATCTTTTTCATCAAAGAATTCAAGAAGGCAAGAGAATGGCTATAAGTTATCTATAGTATAATTCAATGTGCTACACATAGTAATGATTTAAGTTCAAGAGGGTTAATGTACTATAAGACTAACTTCATTCGGTGGTGGGAAAAATGTGAAGATGTGCATTTCTTTTACTTACTAATCTAAAGGTTTAGAATAAAATGTTACCAAAAGATTAAAAGATCATTAATTCTAAGAGGAAAGAAACTTTACAGTTCTTAAGTTAGGGAAAAGACATGATGGAAGAAGAAAAGAAGATAACTCAAAGTCAACATACCAATGAGAGCAACAATCACCTTCAAGTGTAGAGAGGAGGGAACTCACATATATAAAGCACCTAACTCACATTACAAAGTACCATTGGATGAGGTGTTTTCTACAGCATTATTTAATATTCATTTGACTCTAAGAAATAGGTACAGTTGTTCTCATTTGATAGCTAATAGATTTACAGATCTAAAATCAATCAACTAGCCTACAGCTAAACTGCTAGTAAGTGGTATGAGAAAAAACACATTCTTAGAATCTGCATGACTCATATTCTCAGAAAGGAAAAGAGTAGGTCCCCAAGAGCACAAAGTTTCAAGATAGAAGCAAGTATATTCACAAAGATAACTGAATCCATCCAGGAGTCCACAAGGACTTCACTGACCCAACAACTTTGGATTCTACAAGGTAATTTACAATGGAACTTCAGGCATTATTTAGTTCTTAAGTTATACTTGAAAAGTCAGCGAGTTAGCAGTAATAGCTGTCATAACTGTCACTTACATAAACACAAGGTGACCAAAACAATCCAGGTGACAATGACATAGTGGACATCTAAACACTATAATTTTGTTAGGTAGAATAGTTAAGCATGAGCCCAAAAGAGAATGACTAAGATGATATTCTTCTGCATCTTTATCCTGGCATGATCCATTATACAGAAATATCATGGAAGATCTGTTTATTTAATATTCATTTAAATAAGGAAGAAAATGTCTCAAATCTCAAAAAGCTTGTTCAGAAGGTGATATTCTTTTCTGGGGTTGACTCTAAACATCAGGAGGTCAAGATTCAAGTAACTACAACTTCAAAACCCAAGAAACATAAAAACGAGTATACCAGGACTGAATGTGACAGGCACTTTGTGTGCTATTTTATTTGTTCCCATTTTTATCATTTCCTTTTAAAAATGTTTAGGAAATACCTACATTTCATTCATAAATCCAATAAATTTTCTTAATAAAATCGGGTAAATATAAATATATTTCAAATATATGAAAACATAAAACAGAGACGATGTTAAAAAAATCTTTTACCTTCTGGGTCATAGGTTTGGAAAACTCTCCTGGCTTGTTCTGAAGGTGCTTCAGGGGCAACTAAAGCCATATCCTGAAAAGATAAGCATGTTGTCAACCAGCTACAATTATCATGACATTAAAAACAAAACAAATACTAGGATAGAATGATAATACAATGACATTTGGAGTCAGAAGACTTTAAGTTACATTTTAACATAAGTGTGTGGCTAGATAAGGCCCCTAAGCTTACATCTGAAAAATGGGAATAATATTTCAACCACAGAAAACTACTGTGAAACTACTGCGACAATTACAAGTAAAGCTTTATATAAACACTTAAAACACTAGTAAAGTCTAATAATTTATAAAAATAAAACTTGCAAAAATTAATGATTTATACATTTACTTCACATTACTGTCCGGGTAAGAAGAAATAAAACAAAATATATTCTAGCTATCATATATTCAAAAACAAAATTCAGAGATGAAAGCAGTTAATACGAATACATGGCAATGTACTTGAAATTTGAATTTTTCTTAATTCAAAGGAAACACACTAGAGGCAGAAATGTTGCTTCCCCATAAAATAAATTTTCTATCATGACTAACGTATCACAAAAAGCATTACTGTTTGTCAAAATTCTAAGCCCAAGAATTTAGTGTTATCTTTGATTCTTCACAATCCTTGACTCTATATATCTAAGCCTATGAAATTGTACTATTTGACCCACATGGATCTGGGCTCCTTGTTGTTCACCTCTGGTCACAACTTTTATCTACAATTGCCTTTGTTTATAAGTATGTTCACTTAGATAAACTTTCTTTGAGAACAAGTTTCCAAGTATACCTTCCTAACATCTTTTTAAAGAAGTTATATAAATGTTAAATAAAATTTAAAAGGTTGTTCTCCTATGGACAAGATTTTTATAATAAATGTACTTAGCTTTTGGTCTAATATCCCTACTTTGCCCTGTTTACAGATGAAGAAACAAACTTTAAGAAACAATTAGAGTAGTTCTAACCCAACCAAGAGGACTAGGTTTCTGAAAACCTTAACAGCATATTCAGTTTAATGAAAAATAGAAACGGGAACCAAAACAAGGCAATTTATACAAGCCCTTACACACTTTTTATGTGTCACAATACAAGGCAAAATAATAAAAAGACCACCTGATATTTTTAAACATGAATGACATTTGGTAATGCTGATTATTTCCCATTTCCCATCCCTCAACAAAAACTTTTTAGATACTCCCTTACTTGCATTTTCAGTGTTATTTTGCTTATAATTTGCATGTCAAGTGAAATGTCTTCCTCTGGCTTTTCTGATTCTGTGACCTAGTCCTTTATTGGTGGGAATTTAGATTATCTGCAATCTTCTGCTTTTATAAACAACACTGAATCAAATAAACCCAAACATGTGAATTTATACATGTGTGATTGTATTTGTAGGACAGATCACCAGAGTGAGATTGTTGGTTCAAAGGAAGAATGCATTTCTAACTTTGGTCAATATGTCAGATTCTTGAGTTATGTTTGTTAATTTAACCTATTTTGAACAATATTTCCTAAAACCCTCTTCTTTTCCTTTTCTAATACATCATCAATGCAACCTCAGTTCTATAATTAACTTGATGCCAAAACTAAGACTGCAGTACTGGCTCTCAGATTTAGGGACTCTTGGATTTAGGGAGCAATTGCTAACACTTGGGTTGTTATTATTATGCCTTATCTTCCTATATCACTCTCAAACCTTAGTTACACAAATTTCTGTTTATTCTAGTAGCTTTAGCTCTAGTATTCTTTAGCTCCTTTAACTATTTCCAACCCTATTTTTTCAATTCTTTCCTTCAGAATGTCTGTTGGAATTTATCAAAGAACACTGTAACTGAACTTCATGTTTTTCAAATAGGTAGGGTCTTGCTCTGTCACCCAGACTGGAGTGCAGCAGCATGATCCTGGCTCACTGCAGCTTTGACTTCCTGGGTTCAAGTGATCCCCCCAGCTCAGGCTCCAGAGTAGCTGGGACTATAGGAACACACTACAATACCTGACTAATTTATAAATTTTTTGTAGAGATGGGGTCTCACTATGTGGCCCAGGTTGGTCTCATAACTGAACTTCTGGCTGAGAAGAAGAAATACAGTTACAGATAAAATTTTATGCAGAGGGAGAAATGACAGGGGCACACGATTAGGACACAGTCATTTTTCCTATTCAGCACCTGTTCCATCTTAACTTCATACTTGCTAGCCTGCTGTAGAAAGACCTATTGAAACTTAGGCAAAAGTCCTGCTGTATTCTAGCTTAACAAATGTTCATTTAGAGCAGAGTTTGACAGTCTTTTTTCTGCAATGGGCCACATTTTAGGTTTCTCAGGTCACACAATCATAACAATAAAACAAATGGCCATGGCCACTTTCCAAGAAAATTTTATTTTACAAAAGCTGATGTGGATTTGGCCTGAAGGCCATAGCTTTCTGACCCATGATTCAGATAACGTATTACCTAACTCCCCCACCCCACAGACTGGGTAACACTTATTAAATATGCGTTGGTTCTGATTCGTATCTGAGAGGTGTGAAGGCATCTTAATCACCTTCAAGTTTTACAAAGAAGGTACTTTGTTATCAGAAATAGAAAAGAGGGTAGAGAGTTCTAGCTGGAAAAAACAAACAAGAAAGGCAGAGAGACATGAATTCATCTTCATTACAAAACTAAAAAAAGTTGAATAGGATTGAGAACTCTGAGAGAAAAGTAGTTGTCAGAAAAGGAAATTAGCCTAAACAGACGAATGAATTTGATCTTTAACTTTTAGAGTTTGGAGGTAACAGTTAAATAACCAAGGAGAATACATGGAGTTATCTTAATGCTTGGCACACTATGAACACTCAGTATCTGTCAATTGTAAGCTTTCCATAGGTACTAGAAATATAATATAAGCATTACAGGAGGGCAGAGCTGGAGAACCTGCCAGGTAAAATACTTAAACTCATGAAAGCAGATTAGTCCAAAGAAGGAAAAAAACAGTATAGTTGACTCTTGAACAACATGGGTCTGAACTGTGCAAAGTCATTTTTAAGATAACATTGATTGGAAATAATTTTGGAAATTTGCAACAATTTAAAAAACTCACAGATGGATTGAACAGCCAAGAAATAGAGAAAAATTTACAAAAAAGTTAAGTATGTCATACATGCATAAAATATATATACAGATAATAGTCTGTTTTTATCATTTACTATCATAAAATATCCACAAATCTATTGTAATCAAAAAGGCATGATACGGGTACAAAAGTAGACAAATAGACAACTCAGAAATAAACCCAAGTACCCACAACCAACTAGTTTCCAACAAAGCAGACAACACCACACACAGGGGAAAGGACACTATTCAATAAATGGTGCTGTGAAAACTGGACAGGCAGAAAAATGAAACTGTATCCCTATCTCCCACCCTGTGCAAAATTAACTTGAGACAGACTAAAGACTTGAATGTAGGCTGGCTTGGTGATTCAGCACGTAATCCCAGCACTTTGGGAGGCCAAGGTGAGTGGATTGCCTGAGCCCATGGGTTCGCGACCAACCCAGGCAACTTGGTGAGACCTCGTCTCTACAATAAACAAAAAAATTAGCCAGGTGTCATAGTGCGTGGCCGTAGTTCCAGCTACTTGGAAGGCTGAGGTGGAAGGATCGCTGGAGTCCAGTGAGTCGATGCTGGGGTAGCCATGAGAGTGCTACTGCACTCCAGCCTGGGTAACACAGTGAGACTCCAATTTAGAAAAAAGAAAAAAGAAACAAAAAAAAAGACTTAAATGTTGGACGTGAAATCATAAAAATTCTAGAAGAAAACCTAGGAAAAAACTCTTTTGGACATTGGCCCAGGCAAAGAACTTATGGCTAAGACCCTAAAAGCAAATGCAACAACAACAACAAAATAAATAAGTGGGACTTCATTAAACTAAAAAGCTTCTGCATAGCAAAAGAAATAACCAATAGAATACATAGGCAACCTACAGAATGGTAGCAAATAGTCACAAACTATACTTCTGACAAAGAACTAATATTCAGGCTGGGCATGGTTGCTCACGCCTATAATCCCAGCACTCTGGGAGGCCTAGGTGAGAGGATTACTTGAGCCCAGAAGTTTGAGACCAGCCTGGGCAACACAGCAAAATCCTGTATCTACAAAAAATAAAAAAATTAGGTGGGCATGGTGGTATGTGCCTGTAGTCTTAGCTACTCGGGAGGCTGAGGCAGAAGGATCACCTGAGCCCAGGAGACTGAGGCTGCAGTGAGATGTGATCGTGCCACTGTGCTGTAGCCTGGGAAACAGAGTGAGACCTCAACTTAAAAAAAAAAAAAAAGACTTAATATCCAGAATCTACAAGGAACTCAAACAAATTAGTAAGAGAAAAACAAAAAATCCTATATAAAGGTAGGCAAATGGGTAAACAACATTAACAGACAATTCTCAAAAGATATACCAATGGCTAAACATATGAAAAAATGTTCAACATCACTAATCATCAGGGAAAAGCAAATTAAAACCACAATGAGATACCACTTTATATCATTCAGGATGACCATTATTAAAAAGTAACAAAACAAAAACAATAGATATTGGCATGGATGAAGTAAGAAGGGAATACTTACACACTGTTGATGGGAATATGAATTAGTAAAACCTCTAAGGAAAACAGTATGGTGATTTCTCAAAGAACTAAAAGTTTCTACCATTTGATCCAGCAATTCACTACTGGATATCTACCCAAAGGAACTAAATCATTATGCAAAGAAGATAACTGAACTTGTATGTTTATCACAGCACAATTCACAATTGCCAAGATGGGGAATCAATCTAAGTACCCATCAACTGGTAGTGAATAAAGAAAATGTGGTGTGTGTTTGTGTGTGTGTCTGCACACACACACACACACACAACCACGTAATACAAATCAGTCATAACAAAGAAAGAATGTATTCTGCAGCAGTTTTGATAAAATTGGAGGCCATTATCCTAAGTGAAGTAACTCAGGAACTGAAAACTACTGCATGTTCTTTCTTACAAATAGGAGCTAAGCTATGG